TAAATGTTTTTCCTCCTCAGAGGTAGTGGCTCTGTCTGTGCCCTGAGGGGCTTAGGGAATGGGTCAGCTCTTCCCAAGTGCAGCTTCTAGAAGGTACTGGGCCTGCAGGAGGCTGACTGTGGCCTTGCACACCCACTGTCACCCCGGAGTCCCTCCCTCCACCTCGTTTTCATGACGTGACCATTATTTGTCAGGATGAGCAAACCCTGGGATAGGGTTCACCCATCTCCCCTGCTTTCCCTCGACCTTGAACTTGCAGTGTTTGGGGGATGGGTCCACAGAGGCCGATTCTCCTTGGCCTGGAATGTCAGAGCCAAGTAGCCTCAACTGTCACAAAGTGAGCTCAGGAAGTTTGGGGGGGCAGTGCTGGCCCAAAGGCCAGAGGGAGAACTGTGACTTGGAACTCTCAGGGGGGCACACTTGCCTGGCCTGGGTCCCTCTCTCCTCTGACGGGATGGAGGTGGACCTTGCTGACCCCTCTCGGCTCACCTTGGTGACATGACATGGCACATCACCCTTCCAGACCAGAGTAGCAGGTTGGGCCTCCAATGGCACCTGACCCCACTCATGCCCAGCCACCTGCCACACCCCTCGGGCATGACCATGTGTGTGGTCACATCCAATGGTGGCACACAAAGGACTGAGGGTAAGATGTCGGAGAAGAACTGCACAGCTTGGAGCCAAGGAAGGAGCTGCATGGCCTAGGGGAGCCATTGTGGCACATGTCCCATCCTGTCCATAGGCCTGGAGGGGACACATCAAGGCTGCACTCACCCCGTGCACACCAGGGTCCCTGCTCCAGCTCCAGTGTCACAGGCCTGGGAAAGCTGCCTCCAGCCCAGAGGGCCAGGCCAGGGATGATCGTTTCCAATGATCCATCTGAGGACCTCACCCTGTCCCCTGCAGCATCCTTGAAAGGAGGCACTGGCCACGGGACAACCAGCACTGGCGACTCACATCACTCACAGTCTGATCACCTCAACATGTGCATAGGGCTGAGGACTGTGCCCACGGGACAGGTGGGGACTTACAGGGGACAGGGGCTGGCCTGGGGTCATACTGCAAGTACCCCTGGCTCTCGGGCCAGAAGACAGGACTGTGCCAATGAGGGGCCAGGGTGACCTGTCAGCTGTCCGTCGGCAACATCACTGTTGCCTCCTCCCTGGCCCAGGGTATAGGGAGGTGGCACCACCTCCTCAGGTCATTGCTTAAGGCCAGTGGGCCTCACTCCACGGGGGACAGTCTTGCACCAGAAAGGGCTGCAGCAGATGATAGGATGGCATTGTGCATGCACCGGGGACATGATGGCGCCAGGTGGAAGGGAGCAGGTGCTGCAGCCTGCAGCAGGGTCCAGTCATACTCTGACCCAGGCGGCCTCCAGGGCAGCCCCGCCGTGATAGGACCAAATATGGGGCTGGGCCTGGAGCCAGGAAGATACCCTTAGAGACCCGTCACAAAGACCTTCCAGAGACTTCTGACAGAGGCCCCCAGAGACCTCTGACAGAAACCTGTGACACAGACACCCCCACAAGACCCCTGACATATACCTTCTGCATTTGTCCACTTCAGTTGCTTATAACAAAATACCTGAAACTGGGTAATCTGTAGAGAAACAATATTTATTGCTTATAGTTTTGTAGGCTGGAAAGCCCAAAGTCCAAGGAACACATCTGGTGAGGTGACTCCACAGCAATGGTGGGTGTCATATGGCAAGAACGGCAGAGCAGAGAGAGAACTAACCTCCTCACTGGCTCTCCTTTTAAAGCTCCTAGAACCACACCCATGACCATTAAACCATCAATGAATTAATCCATTTATTAGGGAGTAGTCCTCACAATCTAATTACCTCTTCAAGGACCCACCTTTCAATTACCATAATAGGGTTTCTCACCCTCTTAACACTGTCACAATGAGGGTTAAGTTTCTAACACATGGACTGTGGGGGACACAATTCAATCCAAGGCATTTGGCCCCTGGACCCCAAAGTTGATGTCCTTCTCACAGGTAAATACATTCATTCCATCCCATAAGACTTGTTTCAGCTCAATAGTCCCATCTGTGAAATCAAACAAGATATCTACTTCCAAGATATAGTTGTGGGACAAGCATAGGGTATATATATCCCCATTCAAAAAGGGAGAAATACACCAAAAGAAAGGTATAACAGGTCCCAGACAAGTCTGAAGCCGAGCAGGGAAGGCATTACATCTCAAAGCTGGGGAATCATGTCACCTTTTCTCCATGTTTGGCATTCTATGCACACTGGTACAGGGGTTGGGTTCCCAACTCCTCAGGCAGCTCTGCTC